CACATTCCTGTATTTCTCCCTCCCTGGCCTGTCCCACCCACCATCCCATGTCTCTCTGTCTCTGTCTGTCTGTCTGTCTGTCTGTCTGTCTGTGTCTTTAATTAGAAGTGACAATAAAGGGAAATGGACAACTACCAGGAGAAGGAAATCAAAATTTATCAGCGCTGTCATTCAATGACAATATATTTCCTAGGTGTTTGTGATCACAGGTGCTGTGTTGCTGGGAGCATTAGTGGAGGTCTCTGCCCTCAAGGAGCTGAGGATCTTGCTAACATCAGCCCAAAGTGATGCTAAGTAGCATGCAGCCAGCCTGGGAGCATCATTGTACAGCCTCCCCCCAGGTCGTTCCACAGAAGGGGAAATGCAGGAGTCAAGGTTGTGGCGGGAGCTATGAAAGAAAGCTAGGTGGGCTTAGAATGTAAAAGGCCTTCAGTGCCATTTTAAGGAGTTGTTTTTATTTTATTAATACATGTTTGTGGTACGTAATGGTTCCTTTCATCTTAGGGAAGAGGTCCATACATTTAACATATGTTGGTTCTTTTTGTCCCCCTTCTCTCCCCATCCACCTCCCTCCCTCCACCTCTAGGTCCCATTTCCCCATTTTCATGACTGTTACTATATTTCTTGTTTATCTTTGTGACCTACAATGATTACATTCATTGGTGGTAATTGGTACATGTACATGACATATAATGTCTTAACATCCCTTTCCCCTCCCTACTCTCTGTCTCTTGTCCCCTTCCCACTTGAAAAAAGATCTGTTGCCTTTGATCTTTTATTTTGCTCTTTATTTGTACTTTGTATTACTTGGTACTTTTTATTACTTGTATTATTCAAATGAGAGAAACCATATGGTATTTAAGCTCGTGTGTCTCATTTATTTCACTTAACATTATCTTCAAGGCACTGTATATCCATTTTCTAACAGTTGCCTCAAATTTATCCTTCTTTATAGCTGAATAATATTCTATTACTTGTAGATACTACATTTTCTTCTTCCTTTCATCAGTTGGCAGGTACATAAGCAGCCTCCAAGGTTCTGAACTGTGTTGCCTCCAGTATGGGTACTGATGTATCATTGCAATGTGATGTCTTTAGCTCTTTTAGAAAGCTACCTAGACAAGGCATAGCAGAGTCAAACAGAATTTCTAGTTTTACTCTTTAAGGAATCTCCACATTGATTTCCACAGTAGTATGAGTTTATATTCCCACCAACACTGTAGAAGGATTCCTTTTTCACTGTCGCCTCACCATAACACAAATGTGTTATGACTTGATCTCTTGATGATTGCCATTCTTTCTGCCATAAAATGACATCTCAATGTGGTTTTAATTTGCATTTCTGTAAAGGGCCAAATTTTTTCCTGTGTTCATGGGCCATTTGTACTTCTTCTTCTTCTTCTTCTTCTTCTGAGAAGTGACTGTTCATTTCAGATGCCTATTTTTTTGATTCAGTCTTTTATTTTGGGAGGCCTTACATTTTTTAATTCTTTATACTGGGTGTTAGTCCTCTGTCTGAGGAAGAGTTGACTGATGCTTCCTATCCCTTAGGTTGTGTCTTCATTCTGCCGTTTGCTTTGTATGCACAGCTTTTTAACTTGGTGTGATCCAGTTTGGGCCAGGGAGATAGTTCAGTAGAATAAGCGCTTGCCTGACAAGCTCAAGGTCCTGAGTTTAATCCCTGGTACCAATAAAAAATAAATAAAAAAAGATATAGTCCAGTTTGTTGATTCTTGCAGTTGTACAATTTGAGTTCTGGTCAGAAAGCTCTTGCCTACAATATGCCATTAAGAATTCTACATACTTTATCTTATAGTAGGTTGTTTTTCTGCTTCAATAATTAGATCCTTGATCTATTTTAATTTTAGTTTAGTACATGGTGAAAGACATGGATCTACCTTCAATATTCTATGAGTGGATAGCCAGTTTTCCAGCACTATTTCCTAAAAAAGCTGCCTTTCCTCCACTGCATGTATGTTTTGGGCTCCTTTGTCAAAGGCCGAGTGGCTAAATGTGTGAGGAGTCTCTTCTGCACCTTTTTAAAAAAAATTTATTTGGTGCTAGGTCTCACCACACAGCTCATTTTCAGCCTCCCCAGTGCTGGATTACAGGCGTGTGCCACCGTGCTGGTCTCGGTGGCCGGCTCAGTGCACCCAGGGGTGGGGCCAGGCCAGCGCAGCAGGTGGTGCTCCTCTGCTCTTTCTGTTCCATGCCACTGATCCATTTGTCTGTTTTTGTACCAGTACCATGCCATTTTTGTCACTGTCACTTTGTAGTATGACTTGAAGTCAGGTACTTCGATACCTCTCACTTTGCTCATGTTGTCCCAGGAGTGCTTTTGCTACTCTGGGTTTCCTCTGGTTTGGTATGTATTTTAGGATTGTCTTCTCTCATCTTGTGAGGGATGCTAGATATATTTTGATGGGGAATTGTGTTAAATCTGTATGTCAGGTTTGGGAATTATGGCCATTTTGACGATATTTGTTCTTCCTGTCCAGGAAGAAGGGACTGCTTTCTATTTTCTGATGTCCTCTGTAATCTCCTTTTTCAGAATATCGTAATTTTCACTGAAGAAGTCTTTTGTTTCCTTGCTTAGGTTAATTCATGGGTATTTTTCTTGGTTCTTTTGTGAATTGTACTGTTCTTCTAATTTCTCTCTCAGTGATTTCATTATTGACATTCAGGAATGTTATTGACTTTTGTATGTTGATTTTATATCTTGTTACATTGATGAATTTGGTTATTAATTTTTGTGATCACATAAATCTTTCTCCTTTTAAGTAGTTTGAACTTCGTGTCAGCAGCAGGGAGCCCTGGAAAGATTGTAGAGCAAGAAGAGACATGATTTATATTTTGAATTTGTTTTAGAAAGAGAACTTTCTCATGAGAGGCTGACAAGGAGGGCTACAGGGAAACAATGGAGGAAGTGGTGTGGGCATCCATGTGTGGGCATCTGCCTGGACTTCTTCCAAAGTTGTATGCTTTTTGCTGATTTGGGTAGAGAAAGCTAGATGCGCAGAAATTTAATTCTGAGTTTGATTCCATGGCCTAGTAACCACAGGTCCTCCAGCAAGAAATATAACACCGTCTCATCTTAATCATCTTCCCAGTGGAGTTAACAGATACCTGTACTCAGGGTTGAAATCAGTGTTAACTAAAATGTTGCAGGTATGCATAAAACCCTTAAGACTACCTGGGATTTAGCACATGCTAAATATTATTCTGAATTTTTATCAGCTCAATGACTTACTTATTTGTTGGATTAATCTGTGTGAATTTTAAGATACCCTAGGATAATCTGTTAGAGATTGTCATTAGTAAGTTTTGCTTCCAGAATTATACAGACATTTTCATCTCCTGAAAACAGAGGGATGAGCTCTGTAAATTAAAATAGCTCCTTGCTTCTGGTGTAAAGTGTGAACAAAAAAATTTTTAGAGAACCCTGCTACATGGTGGCCCTTAGTGTCACTGTGAGTAATGGAGGGCAGGGGGAATCTTTCACTAAGTGCCAGTGTTAGGGGAGTTGGGTGGTCTTCCTATGGACAATGAGATCTGTTAATTTGGTAGACAGAATCTGGGATTCCAGGACAACATGGTTTGAACTATATCAGAATATGGTGACAGAAACACCTTCATAAATCCCCCTTTAAAATTTTAATTACCTATGGTACTCGTTCCTTCTTTGTGAAATGACTGTACTACAGCTGTTAATTAAAACAATTATTATATCTACAGTAAATATAATTAAAACTTTAGGTATTATGTACTTATCACAGCTGTTTTGTCACATAAGTTTATTCATTATATAAGTAACTGAAAGAATAGCAGTCAGAATGAAGTCTAGTAGGAGCAGAGTCAGCCTTTGTATTTATTCCCAGGTACAGGGCTTGTGTGTGTCTCCTTACCTGCTAGGGCTCTGTGACACAAGCAGCCAGCACCATGGGGTTAGAGGAAGAGTCTGTAGAACTTGGGGTGAAAACTAAGTATCCTGACATTTTGTTTTTGAAGACCTGGCGAAGCAGCTCTTGACAGAGGGGAGTAATACATTCCTTCTGTAGATTTGAGGTGAACAAAGTTGTCCAAGACACTGGCAGGTTTTATTGTGTCTAAAAGTGAACTCTTCATTGATGGAAGTGCTTCTTTTATTTGACTCATTGAGACTGCTATGACACAGGTCACCATTCCTCACTAGAATACAGTATCACAAAACTGTGCTTCAAGTTGTGGAAGCCAATCCCTGAAGAGGTAAAAGACTACAAACCCTGCATTTCCTCCTCTAGGTTCCTGGGAATTCTGTTTCAGTAGTGCTGAGTGCTTTTGAAAGAAGATCCATAAATTATTTAAATTATATTCCCCAACTTTTCCTCTTGCTTCATGGCAAACAAATTTTGACTAGTTCATAAATTAGGTGTTGTTCTTAAACAAGATAATTTGCTGAAAATATTTTTGCAGTATTGTGACTGTGGTTAGAGTGAAGAGCAAAGACCTCAGAGTCAGCTGAGGAATGGGTAACTTGGGGGCCAGACCTAGCCTTGCTGAGAGCAAATGTGTGATTTCTACAGTTTTTCTGATAAGCTATGTCCAGTCTCCATTAAGGGAGTATTAGGAAAACCAAATGAGTAAAGGTTTCCCAAAGTAATTTAAAGATTAAGAAAACACTAAATGTAAGAAATGTAAGGGGCCAGCCAGATAGCTCAGTGGATTACAGTGCCTGCTTAGGCAGATGCAAGGACCAGGGTTCGATCCCTGGCATACCCTGCCAGCCCCACCCCTGGGGTCACTGAGATGGGAATTGAGACTGGGCCTGGTGGCGCATGCCTGTAATCTCAGCACTTGGGAGGCTGAAAACAGGAGGATCACTCTGTGTCCAATCTGTGTCGTGAGACCCTGTAGACCCTGTACTAAATACCTTAAAAAAAGAAATACACTTGCCAAACATTCTGAAAGAGCGTTAGAATAAGTGGAGGAAACACTAATGTGCTCTGTGCTTCATATTCCAGGGAACGAGAGAAACTCTCAGCCGGCACTGCACCATCCTTGGGGATGCTCTTCGGAAGGAGAATGACTTTGCTCTTATCATCGATGGGAAGACCCTCAAGTATGCCTTAACCTTCGGAGTCCGGCAGTATTTCATGGATTTAGCTTTGTCATGCAGAGCTGTCATTTGCTGCAGGTAAGTTCCACTTTTCATTCTTAAAAGTGGCTTGATCCTAAATTGTAAGTTTTTAAATGGTCTGTGAAGTTGTCTATCTAGTATTCATAGATGATATATTACTTAATTCAGTAAATCCAGACCTAAGGTTCACAAACTAGAATAGAACTTGTTAAAGAGTCCTTAAGATCATCAATACATAGGTTCCTAATTCAAACCCACAGGTTTCTTGCGATTATCTATATTTGAACTCCATTACTGGGATCAGTGGTAAAGCGAGCTTAGCATGTGCAAGGCCCTAGGCCTGATTCCCCAGCACCCAAAAAAAAAAAAAAAAAAAAAAAAAAAAAAAAAAAAAAAAACTTCTTTTGTTCTATCTTGAGTTATTTCTGTAGGGATTTTACTTTCCATACCTAAATCTTTGACCCTGGTGCTCAAATCATTTAGGCAGAATAGCATAATAAGAGGTAAAAACTGAGACTTTTTCTTCTAAATAACTGGAAATCTTTCACAGAGCTATTTACTGATGATGCAGCCCTTTGCCTATTGATTTATAATATTACCTATATCCTAAATTAAAATCGACTTTGCATTATCAAGTCCCAGTACATAAAACTCCATTTTGTATATTACTACGTGCCAGTCCTGCCTGAGTTTCTTGTCAGGGAGCCTTTGCTGTCTTTTAATCTAAATTGTTTAACTGTGTCCTCCTAACATCTGAAGTATGTCCGTGATGATGCCGAGCCTCCTGCCTCCACGCGTCATGAGACCTGAGGACCTTCCTCTTTGTCTTCTGCTTATTGAATCTCGCCAGCTGGTGAGGCTGGGTCCAGGGTACCGCTTTCTCATGTTGCTTTTTCCTGGGAATGTTAGCAGGCTTCCAAAGAATTTTTCAGAATGTGTGCTTTTAACGTGATCTTTAGAAATGTTCTGTTTGAGCTGGGTATGTAGCTCAGTTGCAAGCACAAGGTCCTCAGTTCAATTCCCAGTACCAAAAAAATTCCCAGAAATGTTCCATTTGAATGTTGCATATCTGTAATCCTAGCCTTCTGGGAGGATGAGGCAGGAAGATCACAAGTTCAAGTCTATCCTGGGCAACTTAATAACTTAGTTAGACCTTGTCTCAGGATAAAAATAGGGGAAAAAAGGGCTATTAAGGGTTGTTAAGGGCTCAGGGTATGGCTGAGTGTGAAGATTCTTGGTATAATGAGGTGGAGTAGGGTAAAAGATGTTCCTTTTACTTTATTTTTTTTAAAAGCTGTATTTACTATGAAAAGACTGGGGTTTTTTTGTTGTTTGGTTGCTTTTTGGTTTTTGGATTTTTTTTAATGAATTTAGGACAGGGTTTACAAGGTGTATAGGGTCTCACTACATAGATCAGACTCATAGTGATTCTTCTGTTTTCAGCCTCCCAAGCGCTGGGAATACAGGAGTGTACCACCATGCCCAGTCTCTATTAAAATGACTGTTATGTTTCTGCAACCCATTTTTGTCTGGGCTTATTCACTTAAATATCATATAGATGAGATTGTCTCTGAATGTATCTATACCTTGTAGATATTTCTTAAATTTCATTTAATATAGACTTCCTGAAATACAGTATAAAACATACTAAGTATTCTATATGAGCATCATTTGACCTATAAGATTATACCATACTGAAAGAATTAAGAGCTGCCTATTACTCCTTAAAACCTATTTATTTTAGCTGTAGAATCTATTTTTTCTTCTGTAGCATATATTAATAAATAATATTACTATAAAGCTCTTGGACACAATAAGGTACAGATGTTTAACATTAGTAATAATCAGCTCTTTGCTTAATCATGAAGAAAGCCTTAGAAATGATTCCAGCACTCTAGTTTGGGTATCCTCGTGCTTTTTAACATCTGCTTTAAGAGTGACTTTTCCTTATTCCTTGTTAGTATCTTGACAAGGCCTTACAAATGTTCAGCTCTGACACTCTTCCATCAGGATAGCTTTGTGCCAGATTTGGTTATTTAATGCTTTCACTAATGGGTTCATAAGGATCAACAAAAGATTGCTCCAGAGCACATGAGTGTTACGGCTGTGGGCTTCGACTTGGAAACAGAACAGAGCAGAGCACGGCGCTGTCAGATAAGGTGGCCCATTTGCTTGAGTGACCATCTGCGATGTGGCTGCTGCGCTGGCGCTGGGCACCAACGAGGCACGGATGGGGATGAGCCCAGCTGGCTGCCTACTCTCCCTCTCATGCAATTTTTATCAGAATTACAACTGGGTTGAAATATGCAGAAGGCCAGTTTTTCTAATGCACTCACTGCAGCTGAGCTCCATTCTCAGATCTCTGCTTCCCACAGTACTTCCCACTGTTTTTCAGCAAGTTGAACCACAGAATCAAACAACAGGGAGAGAAGAAAACTAGAAAGAGTCAAGCAGGAAGAAGTATGTTCTGTGCTTACAAAACTCCCTCCGAGGCCCTTGCCCCGGGTGCTCCCAGGTCACACGGGCCTCGGTTGGCCCCGTCTCGTCCAGGCTCAGGGACCCAGAGGGCTCACCCGGCCCTGCACATGCAGCTCAGCTCTGCAACTGAGCGTATCAAGACGTGTGTGGCCCCTTCCCCCCTCTGTTCTGTTTTATGCTGTTTGAGGGCCTTGAAGGTCCCTCTGCAGACACTGAGCCTTATTTAGAGTTTTAGGATTTGCATTTTTTTTTTTTTTTTGCTTTTTTTTTTTAAGTAAAATATCTTTCCCCAGCTTTTTTCTTCTAATTACCTTCATACTTTCCTTTCCCATAAGGATTGTGGTTCGGCTTCCGGCCTGGCTTTGAGAATTGCTCTAAGCCCATAATTACCTGAGTGCCACTGCCAGATTCATGTCTGTGCCCCTTCTTGCCTCATTCCCCGGGTGAACTGCTGGCGTAGACCCTCCTGTCATTTCACTTACTGACCTCCGCGTGCAGTTTCCATGAGAATGCTTCCATCCTGTGATAGGAAGAGGCGGGCAAGCCCGTGGATCACTCTCGGCAATTAAACCCTAGTGTCACTCCTGATTTCTCAGATGATTACAATCTTCCAGCCTCAGGAAATTCTCAATTTGACTCCATTATAAGATAGATGCTTCAGATAAATACTGAGTATTATTTCAAAACACAGTACAGCACTGTTTCCCAGATTCATTTCTGCTCACGCTGGCTTTCGGGGGTTTTTCTCTCAAATTTTAACTACTCTCCAGGCTATTGCTGTCAGTCCACACACACAATGATAATTGAGAGGCAGATCTCCCTCCACCATCTTCTGTGTGGCTACAGGCCAGCGTGGAAACAGCGGAGGAAGCCTCCCTCCCCGTGGTGGTAAGGCGCCTCCCCATCTTCATTCCATCTCCAGGATTAAGGGTTACATCAGCCACTTTCCTCCCCGACATTATCAACATCTAGGGACGGAGGCAGTTTTTAGTGTTTGCCTAATTGACACAGTTATAAAGATGAGCTTGTTCCCTCAAGAGGCTCCTGCTGAATTCAAAGAACCAGTTGTTCTCTGTCAGTCATCACGACGCCTCTCACCACCATTTTCTGAAGGGAATATTCAAGAGACAGAACTAATCCCCAACCCAGAATTACTCAGGGCTTTCGAGTCCTGGTTTTGGTTTACACAATGTAGGATGCATGTTATACCTCACATTTTTTTAAGAATATAATCTTTTTATCAGTCTACCATGTGCTGTGTGTTCACAGACACTGTATAGCTTTTATTTTCATGGTTGTTCATATTTACTTGAATAAGCTAATTTATTAATAGGCATCATACATCTGGTTGGCAGGTAGCTTCTGGTAAGTGTCCCTGGGAACAAGCATAGACAATCCTCTGAGGTGCGCCTTCCCTTTCCTTTCGTCCCTTTGATGCTTACTTGGTGTGATCACAGGTACTTTTGAAGAACAAATTAAAGGCCAGTAGTACCTTCTCCAGAAGAAATACTTATGCAAACAAACAGGGAGGATCATAGGTACTATTTTAGGGTTTTCCAAACCCCTAAAACTCCTTGCATAGAATGAGGGAAAAAAGAAACTTGCTCTAGGACTCCTGGAAAACGGTAGGCACAGCCAAGATCAAGATCTATTGTGAGGCTCTGGGTTCTGGGCAGATAATCTCTGACCTCAATTACTAATACTTTCTCAGTCTGAGCCTTTGCATTTGCAACTGAGGATTCAAGCAGGACTTATGCTAGCTCTACCTTTCTGGCATTTTGGACACTTACCAGACTGTCTCTGGCCTTGGTTTCATGCCCTGTTAAAACGAAGGGATCAGAATATGGCAGTGCTAATGATCCTCTGGACCACCTGGATGCCTTCAGCAGATAGGAGTAGAGCTGCCCTGACATAGAAAGGTGGACACACACACAGAGATCCTCTTCCTGGGGTGGCTCCCCGCAGCAGGGAAGCATCTGGGTCAGAGGACCTCCCATCATTCGTGCAGCTTTTTGGCTGAACTCTACTTTGGCCACTCTGTAAGGCTAGGAAGGGTCTTTCCACTGCTTGGATCTGCTTAATCTGGGGAAGCAGCTGCTCTGCCTCTTTTAATATTCCCTTCAGAAAATTGGGAACGTTGCAGTGCGATATTGCTGTGTGTTAAATAGTGTGTGCTTTCCAGGGTCCTCAGCAGTTCACATAACCCAGCCTTTCAAAGAACTTTACATTTTTTTCTGTAGTTGTCAGTTTAGTTTAAACATATTTTGAAACTTATGTTCTGTGACAGTTGGTTGAAAATTGGCTTAGAGCCTCCAGCTTTTAGACTGTCTAGTAATCACTGTTCTTCTACATAATTTATGTACTCATGTCTTCTGAAAAGGAGAAGTTAAATTGAAGTAAGCATTTTTCCCTACTTGCAACATCTCTAATCAAAGTTTAACCCCCTTCTAGGCCATTTTCCCTACCATGTATAAAAAAGAAAAAAAAAAAAAAAACACTTGACTTCTGTGAGCATTGTCACTTGGGAGTGGGATTCCAGGCAAAACCTTTCACCTCACTCCAATCACGGGGTCCTCCAA